TTTTTTTTTTTTTTTTTTTTTATTGTGAGAATTTTAATTTCAGTCTTTATATTTGTGAGGTAAACTTTCAGAAATATTTTAGGGCTTCCCCCCAATAATTTATGGAGTTGAAATTCACATCACATAAAATTATCCAATTTAAAGTGAACATTTCAGTGGCGTTTAGCACATGCACAAGTAATTCACTTTTTAGAGTTCGTATAAGGGGAGGTTGTGAAGGGGCCTCTGCAGCCTGCTCAGGCCTCACTGGTTTTGCTTTCCCTGCAGGGCCTGTTATTCCTGGAAAGATCTTTTCAGCTCGCTGAAGGGGGCCCCAGTCGAGGTGAAGATCCAAGGTGGGTCTCTGGGAAGGGAGTTTGGAGTTGGGTGGTGGATTCTGGGCAATTCTGAGCTTGTGCATGGCCTCCTTAGTGAGTTAGGAATTTCCCATTGGACTAGTGTTTTCTTCTGGATGGTGCACACCCTGTGGATGGTGCTAGAACCTTCTAGAATCAAGCTTCCTCCCCCACCGTGGCAAATGGGTGAGCTACTCTCATAGGGGCATGTGAATAAGACCAAGAGCCTGTCTCCCTGCCAGCCCATCCCCTGAGGCACTGTGGGCAGAGACGGTGGTTCTTGCCAATGCCACTGGTGTATGTCCCTGTGTCAGTGGTGTGTGCATGTGCATACTACATCTGGTGTTCCTAGGAGCATACCAGGCAGCTGTCCCCGGGGGCTTGTCTTATAACCACTTCTGTTTTTTAAAAATAATCACTTCTTTTTAATCCTTTCTTGGCATAAACTGTCCTTAACCCAGTAATGGACATTATTAGGTAAAAGGTAGCAAATTGCAGTCCTCAAGATGGTGGCTAACTTTTCACCTTCACAGTGGTATCTCCAAAAGTTGAAATTTCCATGGGCCTGTGTTTGGCCCAGCCATGTCATGATGGAGTAAACAGGACTCTGGAGTCCTGATCCACTCCCCAGCTGGCACTGCCAAATTCTTTATCTGGGGACAATTGTCCCTGAGGCTCAAGTAGGCCAGAAGAACAAGGCATTGTGTCTTGGAGCCTGCAAGGCCGGCCTATGGGCCGGCCCAGGCTGCACAGGAGTGCTGGCCTCTGCAGGGCTGTGTCTGGTACTTTCTTGCTGATAGGACCATGTCCAAGTCGTGTGAGCCTGGCCATCAAACAGCACTTGAATTCTCTTAACGCACATACACTCATAGGCACTAACCCTGGCCCACAGCCTTGACCTTGCCAGCCTCAGTTTTCTGTAAAGTGTAGGTGATAACCTCAGCCTTGCCTATCTCGGGGGAGTGTGCCGAGTGTCAAAGCAGGTGGTAGATATGAGTGCTTGGCAAGGAGTGGAAATGGGAGAAATGAACAAATAGGGGGATTAGAATCAAGAATCCATCAACAAGTATTTATGGAGTGCCTACTACGCACCCTACAGTGTTTTAAGTGCTGGCAATGTGGCAGTAAGTTATATTGCTCTCATGGTGCTTCGGTGCTAGCTGGGAGAGACAGATGTCAAACAAAGAAGGCGACAAGATTCTCAGTGTATGGATGGTGGGAAGCACTACAAACAAAGCCAGGTGAGGGCAAAGTGGTCCCTAGGTGGGTTGGGAAAAGGGTTGTGATGGCCAGGGAAGTCCTCTCTTGAATAGAGACTTGCAGGAAGGGAGGAAGCGAGTCAGGTAGATACCAGGAAGAATAGTGTTCAGGGCAAAGGGCCTGAGGTAGGCTTGTTTGTTCCTGGCAGCTTTGAGGAACAATGAAGAGGCTGGGGTGGCTGGTGCTAAGTGGAGAGCAAGGGGAGAGTGGTGGGGTGAGGTCAGAGGGGATGGGGCCAGATCAGGCCAGGCCTTGTGGGCCACGGAAGGACATTGGCTTTTATTCTGAGGAAGGCTGCAGCCTGACTTGGGGTTTCACAGCATCCTTCGGGCCACTGGGCTGAGAATAGAAGGCCCAGGCAGAGGCGGGGAGACCATTGGGAGGGTCTTGTAGTGAACCAGGCTAGAAATGGGGGTGGGAGAGTGGGAAGGGAGTGCTGCCCAGATCCTGGATTTATAGTGAAGGGAAGGTCAGCCAGACTCCCTGAGGCTTGGATGTGGGCTAAACAAGAGGGGGGCCAGGGAGGACACGAGGATTTGGGGTTAAGGGCTGTGGGTGGAGCTGGTGTGCTTGGGAGTATAACGGGCATTTGTACAGTGTTCCAGGATAACTGATGCTTTCACATAGATATGCTGCTTGCTTCTTGCACCAAACCTTTCAAAGCAGATGCCAGAGTTATGTCTGTTCCGCTTCTGAGGCACATGGGGGTAGGAGATGGGCTTTGCCTGTGAGGGTAAGGACATTGCCACAGAGCTAGGTGTGTGTGGGGGTGTGTGGAGCTGGCATTGGCCCCGGGCTTTCTGGCTCCACGTCTTGGCCTTTCTCTGTATACCAGATGGTTACTCAGAAAATACACATTGTACCCTGGACTCAGTTTCCCAACCTGTAAAATGAAGCTAAGGTTCACCTCCTAGGGTTGGTGACAAGGGGAAAGGAGACATGAAAGGTGTATAAGAAATTGACAAATATGAGTGATGACTTCTTTTCCTTTGCCTGGTGAGGTCTCTGAAAAGGCAGCACACAGCATGTTTGGAAGGTTCTCTGACTTCTGTCGGCTCCTCAGGCAACTGTCTGGCTTCTGCTAGAAGCTAGAGGTCCCAATATGGAAGAGCATTGGATCTGACCCCTTATTTTTAGGTGAGGAAACTGATGCCCAGAGAGGGGCAGTGACTGGGTGCAGGTCACACAGCAAGAGGCAGTCCTGGCAACTAGATGTGTGGTCCACCTGCTTCCTTATCCACCTGGGTCTTTCAGGCCCAGCCTACTCTTTTGGGCGCTGGACCTGCTGACACTGGAACAGGAACACCCATACCAGAGAACCCTAGGAACCCTGCATGTTTGTGCACACCCTGGGTACATGATGTCCTCTCCTATTTGGGTGGGTATCTGCAGTAATAGAATCCTTGTGTTTCGACAGTGATGGTGAAACTAAGCCGTGAGCTGATGCTGTGTGGGCCGATTGAGGAGATCTTGCGGGTAAGAGAGTGCCCTCTCTGTCCCCCTTCATCCCCACCCCTGCTTCCTAGCCCCCCAGGGCAGGAACCCATAGGATTCCCTTGAGTAGAGTCTAGCCATTGCTGAGGAGGCCAAGGCAGATCTCAGGCTTATAATGAGCAAAGGGACAGAGTGCATCTTGTACTTGATCGATGACTTCGTACACAATGGCACTGTGGTAAGTACTTTACATGTCAGTAATTGTCACACCCACCCTTGGCAGCAGTACTTGTCTTAGCCCCATTTCACAGGAGGGGTGACAACTCACTTGACGTCACCCAGTGATAGAGCCTGGCCTTAAACCCAGGCCCATGGCTCCCGAGCCCCTGTATTTTCCCTATGTACTGCCCCACTACAGGCTTCTATACAGAGGTGGCCATAATCCACCCCACCCCCACACCATTCAGTCACTCCTGATTCAAAGAAACCCTGCTCTCTATTCTTAATATTTTTTAAAAATTTTGAAGTAATTATCTCCACATTTTGGCTATTATAAATAATGTTGTGAATATTCCTTTATATGTTTTTGACTGAAGACATGTTTTCAGTTCTCTGGGGTATATAGCTAGGAGTGGTATATGGCTAGGAGTTGCTAGGTCATATAGTAACTTGACATTTAACTTTTTGAGGAACAACCAAATTATTTTCCAAAGTGGCTGCACCGTTTTTACATTCCCACCAGTAATGTGTTGAGGGTTCCAGTTTCTCCACATCCTCACCAACACTTAACAATTGTCTATCTTTTTGGTTCTGGCTATCCTGGTGGGTCTGAAGGGCTATCTCATTGTGGTTTTAACTTGCATTTTCATAATGACTAGTGATGTTGAGCATCTTCATGTGCTTACTGGCTATTTATAGATATTTTTTGGAAAAATGTATTTGTTTAATTCTTTTGCCCACTTTTTAATTGGGATGTCTTTTTATTGTTGAGTTATAAAAAAGCCAGGCAGAGAAAGACAAGTATCACATGATCTCACTTATATGTGGAATCTAAAGAACATAATAAACTGATGAATAAAATAGATCCAGATACCTAGAAGCATGGAACAGACTGAGGAATCTCAGGGGAGGTGGGGGTGGGTGGGAAGAGATTAACCAAAGAATTTACATGCATATATGCATAACCCATGGACACAGACAATAGTGTGGTGAAGGCCAGGGTGGTGGGGGGGGCGGGTAGAAGGAGTCAATGGGGAAAAAAGGGGACATCTGTAATTCTTTCAACAATAAAGATAAATAAATACAGAAAAAAGAATTCTTTGTACTGGATACAAGTCACATCAGATATTTGAATTACAAATATTTTCTCCCATTCTGTGGGTTATCTTTTCACTTTGGAGCACAAAAGTTTTTAATTTTGATGAAGTCCAGTTTATTTACTTTTTCTTTTGTTGCTTGTGCTTTTGGTGTCATATTTAATAATCTATTGCCAAATCCAAAGTCATGAAGATTAACACACATGTTTTCTTCTGAGTTTTATAGTGTTAGCTTTTATATTTAGGTCTTAAGTTAGTTTTATGTATGGTGTAAGTATGCATCCAACTTCATTCTTTTGCCTGTGGCTGTTCAGTTGTCCCAGTGCCATTCATTGAAAATACCATTAAAAAAATTTTTTTTTTCTTCTTAAATATATGTTTATTGATTTCAGAGAGAGGAAAGGAGAGGGAGAGAGAGAGAAACATCAATGATGAGAGAGCCATCGACCGGCCGCCTCCTGCACACCCCCCACTGGGGATCGAGCCTGCAACCCGGGCATATGCCCCGACCGGGAATCGGACCCTGATCGCCTGGATCCTAGGTTGACGCTCAACCGCAGAGCCATGCCCAGCTGGGCCCACTTTTTTCTCTCTCATTGAATTGTCTTTGCATCCTTGTTGAAAATCAATTTAACTGTAAATGTGAGGGTTTATTTCTGGATTCTCCATTCTAATCCATTGATCTGTATGTCTGTCTTTATGCCAGTACCACACTGTCTTGGTTATTGTAGCTTTGTAGTGAGTTATAACATATGAATCCTCCAACGTTGTTCTTTTTAAAGATTGTTTTGGTTATTAGGAGTCCCTGAATTTCCACTTGAATTTTAGAATCAGCCTGTCAGTTTCTGCAAAAAACTGGGATTTTGATGGAGGTTGTGTTGAATCTGTAGATCACTTTGGGGAGTATTGCCATCAACTATATTGTCTTCCTGTCCATGAACTATTTTTCTATTTATTTAGGTTTTCTTTGATTTCTTTCAAAGATGTTTTGTAGCTTTCAGTGTACAAGCCTTATCCTTCTTTTGTTTTTGGTTTTTATTTTAATCCTCACCTGAGGATATTTTTTCCACTGCTTTTTCAGAGAGAAGTGGAAGGGGAGGAGAGAGAGAGAGAGAGAGAGGTGAACACCAATGTGAGAGAGACACATCGATTGGTTGCCTCCCGACTGAGGCTGGGGATCGAACATGCAACTGAGGTACGTGCCCTTAGCCGAAATCGAACCCGGGACCCTTCATTTCGCAGGCCAATGCTCTAGCCACTGAGCCAAACCAGCCAGGACACTTCTTTTGTTAAATTTATTCCTGAGTATTTTATTCTTTTCAATGCTATTGTAGATGAAATTGTTTTCTTATTTTATTTTATTTATTTTTAAAAAATATTCTTTTATTGATTTCAGAGAGAGAAGGGAGAGGGAGAGAGAGATAGAAACATCAGTGATGAGAGTCATTGATCGGCTGCTTCCTGCATGTCCCTTGCTGGGGATCAAGCCCACAACCTGGGCATGTGCCCTGACCAGGAATCAAACCATGATCTCCTGGATCATAGGTTGATACTCAGCTGCTGAGCCATGCCTACCGGGCTTAATTTTATTTTTGTATTGTTTATTGCTAATGTGTGGAAATTCAATTGATTTTTGTATATTGCTCTTGTATCCTACCACCTTGCTAAATTTGCTTATTCTAATAATTTTTGAGTGGGTTACTTAGGATTTTTTGTTTATAAAATCATGTCATTTGCAAATAGAGATAGTTTTACATCTGCCTTTCAAATTTGGATGCTTTTAATTTCTTTTGCTTGCCTAATTGCTCTGGCTAGGGCCTCCAGTACAATGTTGAATAGAAGTGGCAAGAGTGGACATCCTTGTCTTTTTCCTGATTTTAAGGGGAAGCATCTGATCTTCACCATTGAGTATGATGCTAATTGTGGGTTTTTTATTGATGTCCTCTATCAGGTTGAGGGTGTTCCATTCTATACCTACATTGTTAAGTTTTTATCATGAAAGGATGTTGAATTTTGTAAATGCTTTCTCTGCATCTACTGAAATGATCATGGGGTTTTGTCATTTATGTTATTCTTCCTTTGTTTGTGATGTTCCAAGTTTTCTTCTGCTATCATTTCACTTCTCTCTGAAGAACTGCCTTCAGCAATTCTTTTAGAAGGGTTCTGCTGGGTCCATATTCTCTTAGATTTTATTTATTTGAGCATGTCTAGTTCCCCTTCATTCTTGATAGGTTTTTTCACTAGATAGAGAATTTTGGGTTGGCAGTTCTTCTTTCCCTGCAGGATCTGATGAGAAATCTGTAGTCATTTGAACCATTTCCCCCTTGCGGGTCATGCATGGTTTTTCTCTCACTACTTTAACATTTCTTTCTTTGTCATTAGTTTTTATCAATTTGATTATGTGTTTGTGGGAAGATTTCTTTGGATTTGTCCTGTTTGGATTTGCTCAGCTTCACAAATTTGTAAGTTTGTGTCTTTTGCCAAACATGGGAAGTTTTATCTGTTTTCTCTCTGTTGCTTATATTGGATAGTTTCTGTTAATGTTGCCAAGTTCACTGACTCTTTCCTCTGTCCCTCCATTTTGCTGTTAAGTCCATCAGTGAGTTTTTAATTTCAGTTTTTCTATTTTTTTGTTCTAAAGTTTCCATGTTTTAAAAAAAAATATTTTCTGTTTTCTTGCCGATACTTTGTATTTTAACTTTTGTTTCAAGATTGTTCATGATTACCTATTCAGCATTTTTATGATGACTGCTTTAAATTTTTCAGGTTATTCCAGCATCTGTGCCATCTTATCATTGATGTCTATTGATTGTCTTTTTCTTCATGTGCCAAGTAATTTTAGATTGTGTCCAGGACATTTTGACTATTACTTTGACTCTGGGTCTTGTTAAATTTTATGGAGAATGTTTGTGTTTTAGAAGGCACTTAACCTGGTTAGTTTTAAGCTGCATGTTCTGCCTGTTTCTCTGGGCTGTGGTCCCAGTGTCAGCTCAGTTTCCACAGCCTTTTTGCCATTTGAGTCTGTCCTGCATGTGCAACACCTGGAGGTTGACCTGGGACCTAGGCATTGGTTTCTCCACTGCATTAGTAATCAGAGTCTTCAGTATGCTCATCAAGATCAGATCCACCCTTACATGAGGTGGAGAGATGGTAAGCCCAGGTGTTCATGAACAGATTTATGAAGTCACTTTCCTGAGCTCTTCCCTCCTTGTCATCTCTTTGATACTATGTGGTTCCCGGGGAAGGGGCTCTTCTTTCCCATCCCTGAGCTGTAAATCACTCACTTCATGACTGTACCACAGCAGCAGGAGGACAGAGAGGAAGAAGGGGTAACAGGATTTGGCCCCATAGCTCCACTGAATGGATAGGAAGTTTCCTTGCCCTCAGAGTGTTGCTTCTTCTGTTTTCTGCTATCAGCCACTTTGGTTGCTACTGCTACCCCCGCTATGATATTGCCGGGATCTGAGATCTGAGAGAACAAAGAAGAGGGAGAGAAAAAAGGCCAGAGATTTCTCCCACTCTCTCTGAGCATTAGGGGTTCTCTTTCCTGGAGTTCTCTGTCTGTACCACCATGCTCTCTTTTGGGTTTGGGCTGGGCTGCGTGCAGGTCTGGGGAGAGCAGAGGAGAGAACACAGTAAATCGTCACCAGTCTGAATGGTAACCTTGGATTCCGTGCTTCCCCCATACTCCGCTGGTGTTTACCTTTCTGAGGCTGTAGACACCTGCCACATGCATTCTGTCCCACTCTGAGAGGTGGGCATTTCATGGGAGAGGAAGATGGCATTTGTTCCCTCCATCTTACCCAGACTGTAGCCTTTCCTTAGTTTTTATTTTAAAAATTATTTTTATTGTGGTAAAATGTGCATCGCATAACATTTATGATTTAAACCATCTAAAAAATATTTCCCAGCAGGCCCTGAAGGCATTCTACTCTTTTAAAAAAAAATTTTATTGTGGTAAAATACAAATAACATAAACGTTACTGTCTGAACCATTTTAAGTGTACAGTCAGTGGTTTTAAGGACATTTACAGTGTTGTACAACCATCACCACCTTTTTTCTCCAGAACTTCTTTCATCTTCTAAAACTGAAACTCTGTACCTAATTTTTAAGCCATTTTAAAACAGACAATTGATAGCATTTAGTACATTCCTAATGTTGTGCAACCATCACCTCTATCTGGTTCAGGAACACTTTCACCACCCTAAGAGAAGATCTGTGCCATTAAGCAGCCTCACCCACTACTCTGCTATCTCTAGTTCATATAAACGGAATCATACAATATGTAGCCTTTTGCGACTGGCTTCTTGACTTAGCACATTATTTTCAAGGGTCATCCATGTTGGGGCATGGATCAATACTTCATTCCATTTTATGGAATAAAAAATAAAAGCAAAAGAATAATTTATGTTGGCACTAGTGAGTGTTGGGAGTCAGGGCATGGGAGAAAGGAAATAATAGGTATAATTAGGTTTGATTAAACCCTGTAGTCTGGAGTTTGAATCAGGAATATCAGTGTGAGCTCCTAAAGTATTTTAACTTAAAAATTCTGTGTGTGTGTGTGTGTGTGTGTGTGCGCGCGCGCGTGTGTGTACATGTACATATACATGCATTTGCTTGCTTTGTCCCCTGAAAAGGCCAAGAACAGTGATGCCCAGTTGTAACACAGGCCAGGGGCAGGAAGTGTACCAGTTGACTCAGGAACACCTTTCAAAGGACTCAGGAGCCAGCTAGCAATGGATGTCTTCACTGGCCAAAGACTGGACACTGTGGGTATGATTAATGCATTATAAGGACAGTGACTACAGTAGACTGAGGCCCTATATGTATATTTAAATCCATGAGTTCATAACAATATTTTTAAAAAGTCATCATTTTATCACTTCTTGGCCTTTGGCTAAGATCAAGTGTAAAAGTAATCATTTTGATATCAAAAACACAAGCAGCAAAAGAAAAAGTAGGTCAGTTGGGCCTACTTTGGTGAATGAAACACTTTGGTGCTTCAGACCACACTGAGAAGGTGAAGAGCATCCCAACATTGGAGCCTTCATCAGTCGCGCACCTGGTAAGTGTCCAGAATCCATAAAGAAACCTGACAGCTCAATAACAAAGACAGGTAACCGAAGTCAAAAAATGGTCAAAGGATCTGAATAGACATTTCTCCAAGGATATACAAGTGACAAATATGTGTATGAAAGCAAGCTCTCTGTCATTAGTCATCAGGGAAATGCAAACTGAAACCCCAGTGAATCCCACTTCATGCGCGCTAGGATGGCTCTGATTTACAGAAGGAAAATAACCCGCGTGGTGAGGGTGAGGAGGAGCTGGAGCCCTCACACTGCGCATGATGTAAAATGGAGCAGCCTCTGTGCAAACCAGACCGGCGGCTCCTCTAAAGGGTAAACCTAGAACTACTGCATGACCCAGCTATCCCACTCGTAGCTGTATATCCAAGAGGACTGAAAACAATGTCTACACAAAAACTTGCACATGAGCAGGAAGTATTCTTAAGAGCCCCAAAGTAGAAAGAACCCAAATTTTCATTAACTGATGAATAGATAAACTAGCAATAATAAAGAACAAACTACTAATACGTGCTACAACGGGGATGAACCTTGAGAACATTCCGCTGAGTGAGAGAAGCTCACATAGTGTATCCCATTCATATGAAATGTCCAGAAGAGGCAAATCCATAGAGAAAAGGGATCAGTGGGTGTCGGCCTGGGGTAGGGGTATGGGAAGTGACTGCCGGTGTGGATGGGGTTTCTTTTGGGGGTGATGGAAATGTTCTGGACTTACATAATGGTGATGGCTGCACGGCTCTGTGACTACCATAACAACCACTGAACTGTGCACTTAGAAAGGGTGAATTCATAGTGCAAGCTTTATATCTTAATAAAATTAGTGCAGCTGAAGAAAAAGAGCGTATCTGTGAGAGGAGTGCTTCAGGCTCAAGAACAGTGAGAGAACAGCCCTGAGGTGGCATGTGCTTGGCCTGTTCCAGGATCAGCCAGCTGGCCACTTTGGCCGGAGGAGCTGGGGGGTGGGCCATGTGGGATGTGTCAGGACTGGGGAGGCCTTAGGATGTTCTCTTCAGTATGGTAGGTGGCCACTAGAGAGTTTCTGTTCAGTAGTACAGAGATGGCTGTGGCCAGGGTGTGAAGGAAGTGGCTGGGTGGCTTCTAGGAGACCTGTTGGTAAGCTGCAGCCATACCCAGGCACTCGGGTGCTGGCTTGGGTAGCTGCTATAGCAGAAGCAGTGAGAAAAGCAGCTGGATTAGGCTGGGCCCATCAGGTTTGCTGATGGAGGGATTGGGGTGGGGCCCAGGAGAGGGAGTCCTGCCCCAAGCATGGGGAGATCTGGGGCTTCATGGACTCATTCTGCATACCTTTTCAAGTGTCCTTGCTCGGGAGCAGAGGCAAGACAGATGTGATGAGACCTCTACCTGGTACTGCTCCTGGGTCATTAGAGGCAATGGGTGGACTTCAGCAAGGTGACTGCAGTCTAGCCTGGGGACTCTTGGGTCTTACAGGGGGTAGTCCCTGATAACCCACAGAGGACATCTGTGGTCCAGGCCTGTGGCCAGGGGAGCTCATGGGGAGACACAGGCCAGGACTGCCCAGTGGGGTAAGTGCCAGAGTACCAGCCCCACTTTACACTGGCAGAGCCCTGAGCACAGGCCCCTACCCATTCCTGGGCATCTGGAGGGACTATGGGACCTGGGTCTGTGCTGAGAAGGGGATGGCAGGCAGTGTGTCCTAGTCCTGGCTACTGGTCAAAGTTTGTGAGGTCCTGAGTGACAGTTGCTCTCATGTTTCTGTCTGGGCTATCCCCTCTCTAGACATTGTCCCCCATCCCCAGCTCCTACTCCTAGGCTACCCTTCAAGTGTATCTCCTGGGCTCAGTGTCATGTGGGCATGTTTGGGAAAATGAGTCAACAGGAGATAGTGGTGAGGCCTGAGCAGCCAGTGGCAGGCTGAGGGTGTGGAGATGGAGTGCCAGAAGCTTCCAGAGACTCTGGTCCTGTAGACATGGCCACACAGCCAGGAGCCAGCCTTGCGGGGAGTGCCAGGCAGCTGCAGCCATGAGGCCTGGCACCCATGGACAGGGAGCCGAGCTACAAGCATTATAGCAGAGCACACCCCCGTCCCCAGGTCTACTTCCCACTCAGGACACCTGGCCTAAAATACCGTTAAAATCCTCTTGGCCCTTTCACTTCAGCCTGTGTTTTCCACACCCACTTTAATTGCAAATGCTTTTTGGAGGGCTTTATAGTAAGTCGCCAGTGAGGCTGGCTGAGCGAATCATTCTCGCACATTCCTCAGAATAGCGGGTGTGTAGGGCGGGGCAGTGAGGAGCTAAAATGGAGTACCAGCTTTCTTTCTGGTGTCCTTGCTCTTTGGAGCAGGCCAGGTCTCTCAGGTTGTAAGTGGGTCCTGGGGATTGGCTGCGAGCCTTCTCCTCTTTCTGGAAGGAGGAAGAAGTTATATTTCTGAAGCCTTGAGCTCCTGACTGGGCAGCTGCTGCTGGGAATCCCAACCACCTTTAGGGCAGGGGACTAACTCAGCTGCTGCTTGGGGACCCTGGCTGTAAGGCCAGCTGCTTGCCGCCTGTCAGGGACGAGTCCTTGATCTCCCTGTGAGGAGGAGCAGGGTCGGCGCAGGCCACCTCCACGGCCCCATCTTGCTGTGCCAGTCAGCTTCAGTCATTCCTGGCTGGGGGGGCGGGGTAATCTGCTGAGAAGGACAGGCCTCCTCCTGAAGATATTTCTGAGGAACAGGCCACCATCAGGTCCCTGTGGGCAGTGTTATGCCTCAGCAGGCCTTGCTGCACCCTGCATGCCCACCCAAGAAGCCGCACTGTTGGATGTGTAATGAGCATACACTCCCATATGTTTCTGCAACACTTGTCTCTTCCAGAGTGCTCCCAGGCATCAGTGCAGCTCAGGGCTGGGCTTGAAGAGGGAGTGCTCAATGATAGCATCCCCTGAGGCTAAGGTCCCCGAGGCAGTCCAAGATGTTGCCACGATGGGGACCTAGGCTTCTCCTTTCCACTAGCAGCATCAGGGTAGGGTGGGGTAGGGCACCCAGCATGCCTTGCCAGTGAGTGCATGTGGTGTGTTTCCGGCCCAGGGCCAGGCTAGCACCCAGGAGCAGATGCGCTTCATAGACCAGCTGCTGGACGCAATCCGGAGCCTGACCATTGGACGCTCCAGCTGCTCCAGGTAAAGTCTTGGAACAGGCCCTCAACAGAATGGCCAGCAGATGTCCTTGGTTCTCCATCTGGAGCTGGTGGGCCAGAGGACCTGCTGGGCGCCTGGGCCTGCCATCGGGTATATCTCTAGCTGGGGTTTCACTCCTTGCCCTGGCGGCCACAGATGCATACTGGCCCAGGTAGCAGGCTGTTAGGGTGAAGGGTTTGGGCCTGCTGAGGAGAGTGGGTGCTTGGGCTGTCCCTGCTGGTGGGCAGGTTCTAGAGATATGGGGCTCAGCTTCGGCTACCAAAGCAGGTGGGGCCTGGAGGAGACTTCTCTTGGCCTCTCGGCCAGCTCTTGTTTGGCATCTTGGGTTTCCCGTGTGGGACCTCAACAAGGCTGCCAGCACAGTCCCTGGACACCGTGCTCCGGCCTGTGACTGTGGCCCTGGGGCTGCCTCTGTAGTGTGGAGGAGCAGTTTGAGGACACCAGGGAGAAGAACGAGGAGCTACTAGGGGATCTCTACTCCAGCTCCCAGCTGCGGACTCTCCTGAGCCCCAAGTGTGACCCAAGTTCCCTGGACGTGCAGCCTCCAAATAAGCAAGGCGATGGCAAGCAGGGTGATGGCAAGCAGAGCGATGGCAAGCAGGGTGATGGCAAGCAGGGCGATAACTGCCAGAGGTATGAGCCCTGCATGGTTCTGTGATCTGGGACAGGCTCTTCCTTTCCGTGTGGCCTGTGACAGAAGTGTTTGCCCTTCTTCCTGCAGGGCCAAGCCATCTGTGGTGGAGCTGAAGGAGGAAAAGAATGTGCTAGAGCTGGCCAAGCAGCTGCAGGAGAGCGTGGACAGGATGCAGGCGCTGCGGGCAGAGGTGAGGGGGCTGGCTCCTAGGGCCTCAAACGCCCCATCTTTACAATGGGTGTGTTGTGAGGCTTAAGTGAGGTAGCATGTGTGCAGGGCCTGATGGGCTCTAGAATGTAGTGGGTGCTCAGCCCACGTGAAGGGGAGAGACAGACAAGCTCTGGGCAGGAGCTGGGAGGCTTCCTGTAGAATGGAAAGGATTGGCCTTAGATGGGCTGCATGCTAGGCCCTGAGCTTCAGGCTTTCATGTGCTGCCTTGCATGTGACCCTCCCAGCAGCCTTTAGCCTGGCTTCCTTATTTTCCTGAAGAGGAGACCATAGTGGCAGGGCAGAGGCCAGAAGCCAGTTAGCCTTGCTTGAAACCAAGTGGTTTTTTTCTGCCTCTGGTCTTAATGTCTTCTGGTTTTTGGAAGCCTGGTATGGCCAGCAGACCCTGCACCCTGATGAGTGGAAGGGACCTGGTGCCCCATGAGCAGGCAGGGCAGCCTCAAGGGACCCTCTTCCTGTGTCTTTGTGGTGCTTTGTGCAGCACAAGAAAGCGGTTGCTGCAGGCAGGGCTGACACCAGCATCCTGGACCAGAAGCTGCGCCTGGTCATCTCTGACTTCCACCAGCTCGTCCTGGCTTTCCTCCAAGTATACGACGAAGAGCTGAGTGAGTGCTGCCAGCGCTCAGGCCCCTACCTCCACCCGTGTGGCCCCATCGTTGAGGCTGTGTACCAGACTCTCACTTCATGCCGCCAAGTAAGAATCACCCTCTCCTCTTCCACTATAGCCACCAGCCAGGGATTGAAGGGCTGGGAGGGGCTTGGCCCAGGCTCCCTGTGAGCAAGTGGCACGGCTGGGTTTCAGGCTGCAGGCCTCAGCCTGTGACCTTTAGCGGATTGGGGCAGGAGATTCTATTGGTGCCCTGGAGGGGAAGAGGCCTAATGTGGATGGCCCCTCGAGGGCCCCACTGCACTTAAGGGGATGTTAACTGTGCCAGGACCCCAGGCCTGGAAGAGGTTTGTGCACTGCCTGCACTGGGTCCTTGTTGCCTGTGACATCCTTGCTCTTTCACTGGAATTTTTATTGTGAGAATTGCTGCATATCGTTCCAACTTTTTTAAAACCATGATCTTAGTGACTGCAGAGTATTTCGTTCCAGTTACAGACCCTCTATTTGTCTCATTCTGTCTTCACGATACACCCAGATGTATCCTGGCCTGTTTGTTCTTGTGTGTATGACCAAGAACTCTGCCATACAGACATATGCTTGCCTGTTTGTGCCCTTAACTCAGCTCAGAGAAACAGGAAAAAGTGGTCTCATGCTGCTGAGCCAAATATGTGAATATTTACTCACTTTGTTGTTTTACATTTCAGACCCCCAGAGCTGACCTAAATGCAGGTTTTGGTTATGATTATGAGCACAGTTACCATGTGTGGAAGTCTGACATTGGCTCAGGGCTTCTACAACATTTGCTTTGGTTATTTAACGGAAAGGCTCCTGGATTTCCAAACCTCTGGTCAGCCTGTCCTTTGTGACTCTGCCAACAGGGCGAGTTAGGGTACAGTCCTCTCCCATCAGAAAGGCCCTTTTATTTGGGGGCATTGATTCCCCACCATGGGGGACATACTCCCACCATGCTACTGGCTTCACTTGGCTACCAGTGTGGGATGGGGCACATGATAGTGTGGCGTCCCCATTGGCACAGGAGGAAGGAAGTTTGGAGAACTCTGATTGGCGACTCTCCAGGTAGCTGGGAGTCCTGCCATCACCCATGGGTGTCCTTGGGGGTGAATGCCACATGCCTGAGGGCCTAGAGAGGAGCACACCCTGACTGTGAACCTGGGAAGAGATGCCTTCTATAGGTCAGACCACACATCTCCTTCCCTTCCTTTCTCCCTCCCTCCCAGCTGTTGAAAGCAGTGGTGCAGGTCACCGACACCTCTGCAAGTGCTGTAGAGATGGTGGAGCAGCAGCAGGGTGAGCAGAACTATTGGAGCAGTGACAACATTGCGATGAGTCTAGGTATGTGGTCATCACTTTATGAAGCTGTGGTCGACTGCTCAGCAATCACTGACAGGCCTGTCCCAGTGCACTTTGGCTTAGCCCCTGCCTCTTGTTGGGGTTGCTTCTGTGCTCAACAGCATTTAGGGAACATTTGGGGACTGGCCCCTTCTTTCTTCTTTCTCTAATGCATAAGGTTTTTCTTTCCTTGAAAAATGCTTTTGATAGATTATAAAATCAGAACATTAAATTGTGTAGAAATTTGGGATGACCCAAAGAGGTGCAGAAGTAAAATAAAAAGAATCCATAACCTGGTGGCCCAGGAATGGTTGGTGCTAATATTTTGGTCTATTTCCTCCATTCTTTTTCCTTTCATCATTTTTAAAATTTCTTTGTATAAGTTAAGTGTGATAAGAACATGTGTACACTTTTATATTATTATCTTCTTTCCCATGGACCTCATTATAAGCATTTTCCCATGTTCTCGAAGTAGCATTTTATTTTATTTTTAATATATTTTATTGATTTCAGAGAGGAAGGGAGAGGGAGAGAGAGAGAAGCATCAGTGATGAGAATCATTGATCGGCTGCCTCCTGCACACCCCCTGCTGGGGATCGAGCCCCCAACCCGGGCATGTGCCCTGACCTGGAATTGAACCAGGATCTCCTGGATCATCGGTTGATGCTCAACTGCTGAGCCACACCTGCCGGGCTCGAAGTAGCATTTTTAGTTACCAAACACTATGCCATTCAGCCGTTTGCTACAATTTGCTTACCATTTTCTGTTACTGAGCCTGCAGGTCATTTTCAGGTTTTTAGTATAATTCATAATGCTGTTGCAGGATTTGAAGCTTTGCCATTGGGTAATACTCAGGTAGATAATGGTATATGTATATGGTGAAGTAGTATTCATTGTTTCAAAAGTTGGTAATGGCACCACAAGGAAATGTATATTATGGAATGTTGAAAGGGAAATGGGGGTCAAAAGGAAATACACTGTATGACCTCACCTTTCTAAAGGAGAATAATACAGAAGAGCCCCTCTTAGGAAATGGGCCAGAAATTATACTGCTTTTGTAGTCTTTTATTTTTTTAATGAGTTCAGAGCTTTATTTTCATTTATTTATTTTTTAATCCTCCGTTGAGGATATTTTTTTCCATTGCTTTTCAGAGAGAGTGGAAGGGGAGAAAGAGAAACATCGATATAAGAGAGACATCAATTGGTTGCCTCCCACATGCGCCCCAACTGAGGATTGAACCTGAAACCGAGGTACATTCCTGTGGCCGGAATTGAACCCAGGACCCTATAGTCCACAGGCCAACGCTCTAACCACTGAGCCAAACTGGCCAGGGCTGTAGTCTTCATATATTTCCCCAATAAACACATATTACTTATGTAATTGCCCCATTGTCAGTCTTTTAAAAAGAATGCAGTGAACATGTGTATACATAAAGTGGGTCCCCTCTTTTCTTTTTCTTTTCTTTTTCTTTTCTTTTCTTTTTTCTTTTCTTTTCTTTTCTTTTCTTTTCTTTTCTTTTCTTTTCTTTTCTTTTCTTTTCTTTTTTCTTTTTTTCTTTTCTTTTTTTAAAAGATATCTTTATTGATTTCAGAGAGAGGAAAGGAGAGGAAGAGAGGGAGAGATAGAAACATCAATGATGAGAGTCATTGACTGGCTGCCTCCCACACGCCCCCAACTGAAGATCGAGCCCGCAACCTGGGCATGTGCCCTGACCGGGAATCGAACCCTGATTGCCTGGATCCTAGGTCGATGCTCATCCGCTGAGCCACGCCCGGCCAGGCAAGGGTCCCCACTTTAGAGTATGTCCTTAAGATGGGGTTCCCAAGGTAGTGGTGGTGAGACCAGGATCATCACCGTTTGCAAGGCCAAGAGGTTTCCACCTTTCTGTATCCTCATCGGGGCTGGATTTGATCCTTCTAACATTTCCACTACTGGACAGGCAGAAATGTAGCTTAATTTAGTTCCAATTAAACTTTTTTTTCTGAGTAAGTTTACTTTTTTATTTTGGAAATAAACATTGAGAAAACTTTTTCTTTGGTAAGAAATAAAGCCTTTAGGGAGGAGTATCAACTCATAGGGATAGAAACATGAATAGTTGGATATTTTCCCTGTGCACCCCCCCCCTTATTCCATTTCAAATGATTCTAAAGCAAATACTTGTGTAACCATGACCCAGGTTGAGAACTAGAATATACTAGCGGCCAAGAAACCCCTCACGTGCCTCTTGCTTCCTACAGCTAACTGCTGTCCTGATTTGGTGATAATTGTCTGCCTGTTGCTCTTATGCAAGCCTCTTCTTTACAGCCCCTCCGCTTCTTGTTCTCAAGATTCTCTTGGTCTTTGGCTTTTGACAGTCTGATTAGAATATGTCTTGGTGTGGATTGCTTTGAGTTTATCCCATTTGGAGTATTTTGAGCTTCTTGGATGTGTGGCTTCATGTTTTTTATTAACACCCGGCCAGACAGTTGACAGTTCTTCCTTTTCCTTCACTTCTTCTTTGCTCCAAGACTCAGGGTCAGCCAGAGGTGATCACTCAGGGCCCTCTCAGGTCTTTCCTGGGCATCTGCACAGCCTCGTGCATGCACATGGCCTTCAAAATTCTCTTGTGGGCACCTCATTCCCCCAACCTCTCCTCTCATGCTTTCTGCTTAGTCTATGGTTTGCCCCAACTCTTATCTAGCACCTCAGGTGGCAGCTACTAAATCATTTACCTATAACCATTTCCCCCAGTGTACCCCTAAGGAGAGGCTTTAGGTTGCATAGCCTCTGGGTCCTCCCTTTTGAGGGCTGTCTTTGCATGCACTCTCTAGCTAGCCCTCTCCTCAGGCACCTGGCCTTTTCGCCACTCTTGGCCTTGTCACAGACACTTGTCATATGTCTACCGGGCACTCAAGGGTCTTTCTTCTTTCTGATTCAACTGCAACAGAATCCTCCATTTAAAAATATATCCTAGCCCTAGCTGGTTTGGCTCAGTGGTTATAGTGCTGGCCTTTGGACTGAAGGGTCCCAGGTTCAGTTCTGGCCAGGGGCATGGACCTCGGTTGCAGGCTCAATCTCCGGCCCCAGTCAGGGCACGTGTGGGGGGCAACCAATCAATGTGTCTCTCTCACGTTGATGTTTCTCTCTTTCTCTTTCTCCCTTCCACTCTTTCTGAAAAGCAATGGAAAAATATCCTCGGGTGAGTATATAAAATTATACACACACACACACACACACACACACACAAACGTTTATCCTAAGCACCACTGTCACTATGACTTTCACCCCCAGTGTATATAATTGCCGTTAATAAAATGCTTACAATCCACGCTGTCATTAATATAATAATGATCCTTAGTGTTCTGCACTGTGTGCCATCTCACCTATAGTCACAGGACCGGTGGCAAGTTTTACCTTTTAGATAGGCACTCTTTTCGTCTAAGATGTGTGAACCCCACCCTCCCCCCTCCCCTTCTGTGCTTTGTTGGATGGTGTTGCCTTCCACGTGGAGGGCTCACTTCTTGTCAGTGCAATTTCCTGATTTTATTTGAAAGGAGTTCTTGGACTGTAGACACCCCAGAGGAACGGCCTGTGCTGAGGGCCAGTCGGATTGGCCTCTGTATTTCCCCTGTCCCCACCTGAGAAATTGAGGGCATTGGGCTCCACAACCTCCTCAAGGCCTCCCACTATGGAAGGTCTGTGTGTCTCTGCTACTTCCCCTCCCAGTATAAGAAGCTGGGCCACCAGTCTGGGTTCCAGTAGGCAGGTTGCTCTGCCCATCGTCATTCATGAGTCAGCATTTCAATTGAATGGACCTGTGGCCCCATTTGATTTCCCAGGCCTCCAAAGACCCCAGTGCAATGAAAATACCAATGCATTCTGAAAACAAAGCAACCCTGTCAGTGCTGGGAGTGAGGAGGGGGGAGTTGATGGCACTAGCACGGAGAGATGGTAACAGGTTTCTGGGAGCTAGAAAGTGGATAGGAGCAATTTAATGGATGCAAGGGGTGGAGAAAGCTACAGCCAAGAGGACAGTCTGAAGCAACAGTGGGGAGCATGTCTGCCTGGTGGAGCCACAGGGCCGTGTGGCCGCCAGTCCTGGGGAGGGGGCATGGGCAAGTAGGCCGAAAGCAGAGGACGAAAGCAAAGCAGGTCTTTACAGGTTGGTGCTCCCAGTGAGACCCTAGCCTGCTCTTTTATAAAGAAAATGATTGAAATGAATTGGAAACCCAGGCTCCTGGTGTGGCTGGCAGCAGCCTAGGCAAAGCCCACCTCTTTCTGGCCTCTGAGGGTCCATGGCATGAGGGTTGACCCCTGTCTGCTCCTGCTGCTCTGCCCCAACAGAGCTCCTTTGGTGGGAGGGCAGACCTTGCAGGGAATGGTGACTCCACCAGAACACAGCAGGGCTGGCGTCATGAAAGAGGGAAGAAAGACTTGGAAAAGCTGGTCTAATGGATCATTCAGAGAAATGAACTTTCCAACAAACTTGAGTTAACATGCTCAGTACAGCAGGTCCTCAAATAATGCCCTTTTGTTGTAATATTGATGAGTTGCTATTTTATCCCTTAGCCTAGAGTAAAATTGGTTTTATTATACGTTGTTTTACCTAGCATTGTGGAAACTACTGACAACAATTAAGTGAAGACTTACTGTATCATGTCCAAATGAGAACCAACGTGGAGAAAACAAGCAAACACTCCTAGAAGTTAGAAGCTTTCCAGTGTTGAGAAGTCGATAGAAAGGTAGAAAACAAAATGAGGGAACAAATCTCTTAAGAATAGAAAGAAAACAGATAAACAAAATGATGACAAAGATTAAGTAATGCAGAGGCCCGATCCAGGTGGCTAGTAGGCTCCCCAGAGAAAGAAAGGAAGGGAAATGGAGGATGGAGGGTACAACAGAGGGCGGAAGATACCAGTGAAGCAACAGGCACACCAAGCTGAGGGGGTGAGTCTCCAGATTCCGAGCCTAGAGCAGATAAAACCAAAAAGACACTTCCCCAGGCCCCGCCTAGCCTTCTGAAGTCCGGAGTAACAGGGATGCAGGGCTGGGGCCCAATGCTTCCAGAGAGAAAGCCTGCGGCCTCAGAGGCTGATGCCTTGTACATTCAGAGGGCCTGGGGCTTTGGGCCTAGAATTTCAGACCCAGCCAAGCTCAGCCAAGACAGGTAGTAACTCCAGTCTGGGACAAAGGGGAGACATGTGAACTGATTTATCAGCTGGGGTGGGCAGTCCTGGGAGAGTGGTAGGCTAGAGGTTTGGAAAACCTAAGGATTCCATCAAGGCAGATGATACCCAGGGTGACTTAGGAAGACCCCATCTGTGGAGAAATGTGATTGCAACAGGAAGGGTGCTAACCTGACCCCAGCAAGAGCGTTGATGTCAAGTGGGGAGGGTCGTCAGGGCCAGTCTGGGGTGGGCCAAACTTGGTCCCAGTTCTGCTAGGAGTCTGCCTGCTCCAGCTTTTCCCTGAGGCCAGTCACCCTGAGGCACCCTCCATGATTCTTGAGCTTCAGAGTCACCCTTGGATGGGCGGGACCAAATGCCAGTTAATTAACCTTGCCATGTGGGTGGGCTAGGAGGCAGGGAAGCAAGTTGGTGGAGAAAAGAATAGATTTCTATTTAAGTTAAGGCACCACCGCCAGGGAAACCCCATACCCAGGGTGGGGGAGAGGAGTAAGCTCAAGTCCCCACATTCCATGCCCAATGATCATCATCTGAAGGTACCTCAAGAGACAGGTGCATGTTGTGGCAGTGTCCCCCACTCGAAAGCAAAGCAGCAGGTCATAACTAAGGCCCGTGTCATTTGATTTGTTTGATTAAATCACAAGAACCCTTCATTCGCCTGGGAGGTAGGCAGGGGCCTTCCATCTGTGCGTGGCCCTCACTGCTCTCCAGCACATGGAGCTCTCCAGCCTCCTCAGCAGCAGTTTCTGGTTCACTGTGGGAGTCACGCCCCCTGGCTGCAAGCCCCTTGATGGCCAGGATGGCTGGCACTAGACTCACTTTGTGGTTTGTATTTTTCTTTGCTCTGCAGCCAACAAAATGGAAGAACTAATCCAGAAATATAAGCTCCTCAGTGAAAGTCTGAACAAACGCTCGAAGTAGTCTGGGAACAGGAAGCTGTGCCCTGAAGAACCAGGTGGCCGGGGAGGACCGAGCCATCGGCAGGAGAAGCAGTTACAACCCTCATGTTTTCCGGGCATAGCTCCAGATGCATGGGCTTTCAGCTCCTTGGGAGGGGGGAGGAAGGGGCAGGGGGTAGG